TCAATAATGAGCAATTTTATTGGAAAGATAGTAAGAAGCCTCCCAACAATCAAAAGCCCCAAACTGGATGGATTCACTGCCAAATTCTACCAGATCCTTAAAGAACTAATACCAATAATCCTCAAACTATTCCACAAAATGCAAAGGGAAGCAACACTTTCAAATTTATTCTATGAATTTGAAATTACCTTAATGCCAAAACCAGGTAAGAACAAAACAAAAAAGGAAAACTGTAGGTCAATTTCCTTGATGCGCATAGATACAAAAATCCTCCATAAAATTCTTGCAAACTGAATTCAGTAACACATTAAAAAGATCATATGTCATGATCAAGTTGATTTCATTCTAGGAATGCAAGGATGGTTCAATATATGCAAGTTAATAAATATAACAGGACAAAGACCACATGATCATCTCAGTAGATGCAGAAAAAGCCTTCGGCAAAAATCCAGTATCCCTTTATGATAAAAGCCTGAGGAAACTAGGAAAGGAGATTTTACACCTCAACATAGTAGAGGCTATATATTGGCCAACCTGTACCCAACATTATACTGAATGAGGAAAAGCCGAAGTCATTTCCTCTAAAACCAAGAATGAAACAAGGATGTCCACGATCTCCACTGTTAATCAATATAGTGCTTGATTCTTAGCCAGAGCAATAATACATAAGAAAGAAGTAAAAGGAATATAAATAGGAAAGGAAAAATCCAAACTATTCCTATTTGCAGATCCTATACTTTAAAGACTGTAAAAACTTCACTAAGAGACTCTTAGATCTGATAAACAGTTTCATCAGAGTAACAGGATACAAAATCAGCATACAAAAAACAGTAGCTTTTTTTGTACATCAGCAATTAACTTGCTGAAAAAGAAGTCAGGGAAGTAATTTCATTCACAATAGCCTCAAAAAAATTTAACTATGATAAAATTAACCAGCAATGTTTAAGACCTCTACAAAGAAAACTATAAAACACTGAAGAAATTGCAGAAGACACTACAAGACAGAAAGACTTCCAATTTTCATGATCAGCAGAATAAATATTATTTAAAAATGGCCAAGCTACCAAAAGAAATACATGAATTCAGGGCAGTCTCCATCAAAATTCCAATGGCATTTCACAGAAATAGAAAAGTCAGTCTCCTACAGTTCATACGAAAATACAAAAGACCTCAAATAGCCAAAACAATCCTGAGAAAAAGAACAATGCTGGAGGTATCACAATACCAGACTTCAAATTACACTACAGAATCACAGCAGCAAAAACATGGGTTTTGACAAAGGTGCCAAAACCATACATTGGAAAAAACTTCTTTAACAAGTGGTGCTGGGAAAACTGAACATCCTCATGTAGCAGACTGAAACTAGATCCCTATTTCCCTGTAAAATATGAACTCAAAATGAGTCAAAGACCTTAATGTAAGACATGAAAAGTTGAAACTGCTAGAGGAAAACATATGGGAAACACTTCAAGACATAGGTGCAGGCAAGATCTTTCTGAATAGGATTCTGATTTCCCAGGAAATATGAGCAAGAATTACAAATAAGATTATATCAAATTAAAAATCTTCTGCATGGCAAAAGAAACAGAATGAAGAGACAGCCATACAGAATGGAAGAAAATCTTTGCCAGCTATTCTTCTGATAAGTGCTTAATATCCAGAATTTATAACAAAAAGCTCAAAAAAATAAACACCAAAATAACAATCCAATCAATAAATGGGATATAAACAGACACTTTTCAAAAAGTGAAGTACAAGCGGCCATGAAAAAATTGTTTAGCATCATTAGCTATCAGGGAAATGCAAATTAAAACTACACTGAGATTCCATTTCACCCCTGTCAGAATGGTTATAAAGAAAACAAATAACAAGTGTTAGCAAGTCTGTAGCGAAAAAAGAACTCTTACTCATTGCAGGTGGGAATGTAAATTAGTTTAATCACTATGGAGATTAGTATTATGGGAGTTCCTCAAAAAATTAAAAACAGAACTCCCATTTGTTCTGGTCATACCACTTTTGGGTAGAAACCCAACAGAATTAAATTTAGCTTATTATGGATATCTATATACCCATGTTTATCATGGCACTATTCACAATAGCCAAATTATGGAATCATCCTAGGTGCCCACCAACAGATGAATGGATAGAGAAATGTGGGACACATACACAACGGAGTTTCACTCAGCCATTAAGAAGAATGAAATCTGCAGGAAATAGAACTGCAGATCATCATATTAAGTCAAATAAGTCATTCCCACAAAGCCAAGTATCACATGCTTTCTCTCATTTGTGCAAGCCAGGGGAAAACAAAATAGAAAAACAATGTCATGTCAGTAAAGGGGGTACTACTAATGAGGTGGAAGGGATAGGAAAAGGGAGAAGGGGGGAATAAGAAAGAATAATAGTGTTGAATATGATCAAGGTGTATTTCATGTGTGGAAATGTCATGATGAAACTCTACTATGTACAGTTTAATGCATGCCAATAAAAAAAAGTTATTCCCAGAATATTTGGGCTTTTTCTCTGGACTCTGCCATTTCTCTAGAGGTATCTCCAGCATGAGATGCTAACAGTGAGGAAATGTAGGCTGAGACAAAGGGCTCATTATACCTGTTGAACAGAGCAGCCCCAGCTATTTCACTTAAAAAGGTTTCACTGAGCTTGAGATTCATTAAGAAAACTCACTGGGCAACAGGCCCTGGCAACATAACAAACTAATAATAACTTATGAACATCTATTTTTGGAGTTGAAATGCTATTAACACTATTTCTTTTTTTTTTGAGTAAACAAATTTGGACATGGGCAGGACCATTGATCAGGCTGTAAGAACACCAGATTATTCAGGTTAGAAAGGTACTGTAGAAGTACATTATTACTAGATCCTAAAATGATGCAGCATCATTAGTACTGATCTCACATCTAGTGAGCCATGTCTCTTTTGAGAGGAAAAATTCTGTAATTTATTTCACTTTAATTATAGATCATTTGGTTACTTGTAAAACATTTTGCTTTCTATCAATTTTTTCTTTTACTGCCCTTTATTGTTTTTTCACATTTTTATTAGCATATATTCATTGTTTGGGGGGAAATTCATTGTGCCAATTCCAAATAGCCTTACATTATACTTTGGTTAGGTCACCCCAACCATCATCCCCCGCAACCCCCTCCCTGACCCACTTAAAGCGATTGCAATAGCTTTCTATCAATTTTAATTCATGCTTTTCCTCTCAACTTTTTTGAGGTTTTTGAAGGCCTCAGTACAACTTTCTTCTGCTTTTTATTTTCTCTAGTGTGTTGTTACATACTGAAATTATTTTGACTAAAGGTTTAAATTTTGTTATAATGATACTTGATAGCATAATGCAGAGTGAAACAGAAATGTGTCCAAGAACTAAAAATATTCCAACTCAATAATTCATATACTCAGCTGCCTGAAAAATGCTGAAATCACAATACAATATTAATTTTTCTCTTCTGTTGAGATTAACATTGTAATTGTTTGAATCATAGAGTAAAACATACACATTTATTTTAAATAATCTACTTGTTAGCATTTATATTAGGAGAAAATTTATACTATTTTTCCATATATTGCCAGCAGTGGGTTATTATGAGGGAAAACCCCTAAATCTTTTTAAAAAAATTCGCTAGAATACATCTTTGGTCTCAGATGCAAAATACACTGTTTCCATATTATTTATACATCATATGTCCTCATAAATGTGTATGTTCAAGAGTTAGCATACCTTTCTTCTAAGTAGCACAATACATTTATGAATAATTAGAACTTTATTGTTTTCCAACTCTTAAAGTCACAATGAGAAAATATTTTGAAACCTATGTTGTAAAACAAATTTAATTTGCAACTAGGCAATGAGAATTTCAAATTCTAAAAGATAATAACTTCTGAAATTTAGTGCAGCTTGCATGCCTGGAGAAATGAATGCTATAGCTTTAAGATAAGGTAATCTGGTGATTCATTGTACAAAACAAGATCGATTGGGAGCAGGCTCCTACTGTTAGCTTTTTTGAAGATGGATTCTCACGCTGAAAATAACACAACATATTCTAGATAACAGCAGTTTTTCCCCCTGAAATCCACCAAAACTGAAGAAAAATCCAAGTGACTGTTCTTAGCAGCTGTGTGGCCTGGAGTTCACTGGGGAAGCTGGCTTCCTGCAGTCCCCTATTCATCACCTGCTTCAAAGACAGCCTGGCTGGCTATAGTTTGCAGGCCAGGTAGGGTGCCATTGTGCACAGTCTGGGAGGATTAGTATCAAAGCTGCGGCAACCAGGCCCTTGGTCTCAGGCTGCCATTCAGTCTAGCAGGGAGAGGCTAAGACTGGCCAAGGTCACAGTCTCCAGTGTGGAATGGACTGGGAAAGGATCCTGAGAATAGAATGCTTTTTATGAAATCATGGCACAGGCTTGCAGCACAGCAGGTGCCCTTCTGGAAGACATAACATCTGTTTATGTTGGTATACCGTAGCTGACAACGATATAATAGAGCTTTGAAATTTATCATTTTATTTTAAATAGACAACTGTATATACAAAAATCCAGATGCGTATTTAACTCAGACCATTTATTTGAAAAATCATAAGGAAAACTGACTGATTTAATTGCTGCTTTTTACATGTATATATTTAAGCAAAAAGCAAAACATACTGAATATTAACCATTTACAACCATTGCTGATCAGTAATACCCGAATTTTGGGGGAGGAAATACTTAACATTCAACATAATTGTTTTCAACGTTCAGATATTTGTGTCAGCAGATTGCAAAAGGATTTCCTGATTTTGCCCAATTGTCTTGAATATTACAAGGTTTGGATAAAAGTTCCCCCACCAAATTGTGGTATTTCAAGAGTGAGGTAATAATGATGCAAAAATAAAATTTTCAACATGGACAATTAGAGAAAAATTAAGCTGTACATGAGTTGTCATGACGACAAGGATGTTCTGTTGATGAACTGTCCTCCTCATTGTCCAATCAGATAGTAGAGCTGAAGCTGGAGCATGAACAGGAGAAGACGCACCTATTACAGCAGCATAACGCAGAGAAGGATAGCCTAGTCCGAGACCATGAACAGGAAATTGAAAACCTGGGGAAACAGCTTCGCGCTGCCAATATGGAGCACGAAAATCAAATTCAAGAATTCAAGAAACGAGATGCACAGGTAATTATCAATAATATTTGATAAAACGGGTATCTGTTTTTTAAAAAGTCATCAGCGTTCAATGTTTTCTTATTCTTGTTGATGCACGCTGTTTGATCATTTGCAAAACTGACATAAAAATGTGATTTTTTTTTTTTCTCCCCACACCCCACCTCCCGTTTGGTGGATGAATAAGGCTTTAACTACAGAAACCACAGGTAGCCAGATTAAAAATCTCATGGCGCACTATAACTTGGCCCCTTTTTTTATAATCTTGTCTCAGTTCTTTTCATGATGGTTTTTTTTAAAGGTATCTGCTCCTTACCCCTCCCCTCAGCCTTAGAAAATCCATAAGAAATATATCAGCCTCACTCCTTGCTTTTTGTTTTAATCTCTGTAGGTAATCAGACAGTTGTTTTAACATTTGCTTTTTCTTCCTAATATTGCTTTTTTTGTCATGAGTCTCTATATTTGATTAGATCACTCAGATGGTAATTGATAAAAATGACTCCAGAGACGGGCTATTTCTCATCAGGTCTGTTGCTTTTTCCTGCATGCACATACACATGCCTCCTAGCCTCCATCTCTGTAGCCCCTGTTGGAAGCCATTTGGCAGAATAACCCCCAGCTGTGGTAGCATTTGACTCTTCAAACTTATGGATGAAATGTGCACTGTCAGCATGGAAAATTATCTTTATAAATTTCAGATGAAAATAATTCTTATTGGGTATATATCTTTGTGATACAATACATTCTTTAGGGTGTATATATAATCAAGGGCCTTTAATGTACCCTCTTGAGGTGATTGCTGTGAAATTTTTTTAAAGAAACATTTAAGAGCAATTGACAACAATAAAAAAGTAATTTTCTTTTCTAATAAAACCATATCATATATGAGGTCTAAATACCTCTTTTTCCCATTGAAATCTCACCATATTAACCACACCACATTTAAGCATCTTCCCCTGGTTATTCTTCCTCCCAAAATAATATAATTTCCAAACAACAGAAAACATTTTATTATGTATGTATTTAAGCAATTTTATAATTATCTAAACATAAAAATGCTGCTAATTAAGTAAGATGTTAGTTTTCTAGTGGAGAGCGAGAGGTGATAAGGCAAAGGATAAGAGCTTTGGCTATGTTTCATTTGACCTTTGGTTGTCTTATATTTTTGGAGAATAACTGATGCAAAATGGATGTGCTCAGTAATTTTTCTCAAGAATATGCATTCATAAGAAAAGTATTTTCTGGTTGTTTTATGGTGGTTGCTAACTAAAAGGTGATCATTGTAGTAGTCATGGTTCCGGAATAGTCAAGTGGTTCTTGTTAAATCAACATGCATTTAACTTTTGCCATCAACCTCATTACTCTCTTTAAAAATTATGTGCTAATCTTTTGATTTTTAGTCATACAATTTATTAAAAATATTTTCAAACATATTCTCCTTCAACATGATGAGAAGCCCAAACATTGTCTTCCCATGATAAGAGATGTGGGATCTGAGTCAGGGTAGGATCTTTGCATAGTAAAATCAAATAATGGATACAATAAAATTCATTAGTTTACATAACTTCCCACTATTTTGATGCTATTGTGGAAAGCTGACACAAGTAGAGGACAAATTTAGAGGGAATCTTTGTGTTTTTGCATGTGCTGTGTCTACCATATAAGGGTGCGGTTCATCCAATCATAACAAAGGGAAATTTTAGAATTATTATGTATTATTAAGCCACAGACATGGTATAATATTGTTAATAATTAGATTTATTCTCGTTGGAATATTAAGTATGTGGACTCTATGATCTCTACAAATGCTTTAGTTAAGAATATTTCTCGTATTTTGTATCCTTGGAACGTTTTGCTAATTGGAATTGCTGTCATGAGAATGCCAGTAAGTAATGGAAATTTAGGGTAAACGCATTTGTGGTGAAAAGGAAAGTAATTTTGTGTATGTTGGACTTCACTATTTTTAGAGAATACAATTTTTAAAAAAGTTTTATCAATAAGTTATATTTTTAAAAATCTTATCATATGTACTAAAGTGCTAATAATTTGTTTATCTTTGGTTATTCACTGAGGATATTAATTCAAAGTTGCCTTCAGGTAAGTCTTAAGTTTTCAAACTATATCTTTTCATGACAGTGGCCTAAAAATTCTAATGTATAATACCTTTTAAATACTGGATTCCATTCACAGATTTTTTAAAAAGTGGGTATATGCTTTTCAAAATGGAAGATTTTTTAAAAAAATCACTGTGTTGTGTAATGCAGAACAAACACATAAATCTTAAATACTAGATTGTATTTTTTATTTTAGTTCCAGAGAGATTTGCTTTTCAGTTAATGTTTGGCTGTTCCAGTTTAACAGTGGTGGCCATTTTGTAAAAAGGACTATTTTAAAAAAACCAAAACAAGATCAGTGCATTATCTATTTTGGATACTATGGCTTTGTTTTCTGCTTAGCTTCTATCATATTCTTAAAAGAGGATAATAGCCTTAAAATCTATTTTTAGCCTCTTCCAAATACATAGTATATTGTATGCTAAGAAAATCATTATCATATAGTCAGTTACCTTAAAGTGAGTCATACCAACTGGGACCTCCCTTTTGGTAGATATGTTTTATAATTATTACAGGTTTTTATTCTAGCAATTTCACTTTTATAGAACAATGATAAGATGTAGTAATATACCTAAAGGCAATTAATCATTTTCTTATTTTATGTGGTACAGTTAGCTAATTATTTTATGTGTACATTATATTTTTGTCATGATACTTTTCAATAGCAGGATATACTATATTGTGATAATTAAATTTTTTAGAATGAGCATTAAATTTTATCACCCTCGTGGAAGATGTTCAGTTTGATACCTACCTAAAGTCATAATGTTTAAGAAAAAGCATCCCTGTCAGTAGCAGGCAACACGTAGAAATTTATGACCTTGTGATCAAATATTTCTCATTTACCAGGATTAATTGATTCAACCACATTTTTAAGATAAAAAATTTATAAATATCATATTAGAAAGCTTCTTCTAACTTGGCAGTTGTATATGTAATTCTTGGTTTGGTTTTGTAGAAAGAATATCTTTTGTGGAAGAATATCTGCACTTTATCCTGTTGACTTAGAAGAAAAATAGAACATAGACTCCTTGATCCCTTCATTGTCCTTTCAGGACCCTGGGCTTTTTAGAGGTTTCTTGATCTTTTATGTGTGTTGCCTAAATGAGTGTTGTGTATGAATAGTGTACGACTGTCACATAGCACCTTTGTGACCCACCCCAGAGAATGGTGTCAATCTTAGGATGGCTCTGTGACCTGTTGCTGTATAGACAGATCAAGGAGTCTGGGTACCCAGCAGCCACTGTGAACTACTCTCAGGATTATGCAAATTAAATGTGGTATTCTTAGAGGAAGTTATCACAACATCTAAAAATACATTAAACTTAGCATTCATATGTGAACTACGGATCTTTCATATGTTGACATCTAAATGCTTTAGATTCCAAAAACTGAGAATCATGATTCTCATCGTAATTAAAAATGTTTTGCATAGTAAGTGGACAGATCATCTTGATTTTTGCTATATAGATTCACATTTAAAAGCTTTCTTAAAAAGATATAAGATAATTTTAAAATTAGATTTTAATAACAATACATTATTTCCATCATATAAATCTCTATTTATAAATGAGTGTATGCATGTGTGTGTGTGCGTTCAGGAGATTAAGCATTGCTATCTGTCTTTCAAGGCTACTCAAAGGGCAAATTTATCAAAATGTAGAGTATACCTATGTACATTGGTATACCTATGTACATGGTTTCTGGTAGCATTTTTCTGTAGAAAACTTTTTATTTTAATTTCTTTGTATACCTACTTCTTTCTAAAGATGTTATGGTAGCATTTTATAATAAACATATACTTAAATATAGCAGAATAATAATTAAGCAATAGATGATATTAGCTACATTAGAAAAACTATACTTTAAAAAATGCTACATTTAAATGCAAGTTTTACTTCTGAGCTTGCCTAGGAGCCACAGCAAAGAGGGAAATGGATTATGTGATTCTATTTGTGCAGTGAAAGATATCCATGACTGTTGTCTCTCAAGTCTGGGAAAGATTGAGACAAGGGAATAAACATAAAAGACTTCGACCTATTAACTAATGGTATTCTCTGTATATTAAGACAATTGCAAATTGAATCTGGTGAGAAAACTTTAAATTCTTTGAGTACTTTCACAAAATGTAGTTAGCAACTTTTATATTAATGTATCGAATTTTTCTTTTAATTTATTGAAAAAACCATTATTCTCAAATCAAAAAAACAAAGCAGCTTTGAGACATCTAATTTTTTAGATATTATAAATCAAAAGAGGCCTAGGCATGTGGTTCAAGTGATAGAACACCTGCCTAGCAAGTGTGAGGCCCTGAGTTCAAACCCCAGTACATCAGAAATGAAGTCCCAACATTGATTACCAAGTGCATTGCTCTCTATCTTACATCAGTTCTTTTGCCCTCTGAATTTATACTATGAAATACTATAATTAGAAATCATAAAATCAAACAATATTTCATTCCAGAAGTTAAAGACTTTTGTACCTATACTAAAATGGTTCACACCCTACCTACCTGCATAACCAAAATAGTATTTCATCATTAATACTTATTAATTAATGTTATTTACTTTGTTCTCAAGTAGTAACGATTTTTATTTCTTTGGGTCATACTGAACTAATTGCTTGGAAAAACCAGACTTTGTGAACTCTATAGTTCCCCCAACCTAGCGAGGCTGTTGCTATTAATGGCACCCTGCTCTTTGTTCCCTTTTCTCCCTGGTCACACACAGTCACATCAGAGGTTTCCTGGTGCTCCAGCTGTGCACACACCACACTTTGATACTTATCCCCTCATACCCAGTTATTTGGATTACAGGGAGAATGGAGTGGAATTCAATGTGTTTTAAGTATTAAGTGGGTTTTTGGTGCAACATACAAAGTTTAATTTCAGGCATTAAA